TAGACCTGTAACCTGTAGACCTGTAACCTGTAGACCTGTAACCTGTAGACCTGTAACCTGTAATTAATTGTTTTTTTTTCTTTACAGGTGAGTGACTGTGAGAAGCCAGCTGTAGGGTGTGGCTGTATGACCTCCTCCTCCTCCTCCTCCTTCCTCCTCCTCCTCCTCCTCTTCTTCTTTCTTTCTTCTTCTCCTCCTCCTCCTCCTCCTCCTCCCTCCTCCTCCTCCTCCTCCTCCTCCTCCTCTTCCTCCTTTCCCTTTTCTTCTTCCTCCTCCTCCTCCCCTCCTCCTCCTCCTTCTTCCTCCTTTCTTCCTCCTCCTCCTGCTACTTGTCCCTCCTCACCTCTCATCTCCCCACACCCTACACCCACTACACCTCACCACCCACCACAACCTACACCCACCACACCCTACACCCACTACACCCACTACACCCACTACATCCACTACACCACACACCCACTACACCACCCCACCACCACACCCACACCCACCACACCCACTACACCCACACACCCTACACCCACCAATCTATACCCACTACCACCACAACCTACCACTCACACCACCACACCTACCACATCCACTACACCCACTACACCCCACACCCACTACACCCCCACACCCCAACACACCCACCACCACCACACCCACCACACCCCACAACTACCCACACACACACCCACTACACCATACCACACCCACTCACACCCCCACATCCACTACACCCACTACACCCACACCCACTACACACCCACTACACCCCACACCCACCACACCCACCACACCCTACACCACTACACCCTACACCACTACACCCCTACACCCACTACACCCTACACCCACTACACACCCACTACACCCCACACCCACTACACCCACACTCCACTACACCCACTACACCCCACACCCACACAATCCACTACACCCCACACCCAATACACCCTACACCCTACAACCCACCACACCACACCACAACCCAACACCAAACTCACACCTACACACACCCACCACACCCCACACCCACTACACACCCCACTACACCTAACACCATACACCACACCCACTACACCCACTACACCACACCACACCCACTACACCCACACCCACACACCCACCACACCCACTACACCCACACACCCCACACCCACCACACCCACTACACCCCCACACCCAACACCCCACACCACCACACCCTACACCCACACACCCTAACCACACCCCACACCCACCACACCCCACCCACCACACCCAACAACCCACTACACCCCCACACCCTACACCACCCACCCTACACCCACTACACCCACTACACCACTACACCCACTACACCCACACCCACTACACCCACCACACCCACTACACCACAACCACCTCACACCCACTCACACCCACCACACCCACCACACCCCACACCACCACACCCACCACACCCCACACCACACCCACCACACCCCACACCCCACCACACCACTCACACCCACACCCACTACACCCACCACACCCACCACACCCCACACCCACCACACACCCACTCACACCCACCACACCCCACACCCACTCACACCCACCACACCCACCACACCCCACCACACACCACACCCACCACACCCACTACACCCACCACACCCACTACACCACTACACCCACTACACCCCACACCCACCACACCACTACACCCTTACACCCACCACACCCACTACACCCACCACACCCACTCACACACTCCACCACACCCACACCCACCACACCCACCACACCCCACATCCACCACACACCCACCACACCCCACACCACCACACCCACTACACCCCACACCCACTACACCCACCACACCCCACACCCACCACACCCACCACACCCCACACCCACCACACCCACCACACCCACTCACACCCCACACCCACCACACCACTCACACCCCACACCCACCACACCCACACACCCACTACACCCACTACACTACACCCACTACACCCACTACACCCACTACACCCACTCACACCCTACACCCACTACACCCACTACACCCACACCCACCACACCCACTACACCCCACACCCACCACACCCACTACACCCACACCCACCAACACCCCACACCCACACACCCCACACCCACTACACCCCACACTCCACTACACCCCACACCCACACACTACACCCACCACACCACACCACCACACCCACACCCACTACACATCCACACCCACTACACCCCACACCCACTACACCCCACACCCACTACACCCCACACCCCTACACCCACTACACCCACCACACCCTACACCCACCACACCCCACACCCACCCACCCCTACACCCACCAAGCATTGTCTGTCTGTCTGTCTGTCTGTCTGTCTGTCTGTCTCCTCCCTATTTCACTCACCACCACCTAGGGCTTAAGACCACCCAAGGCTACTGATGCTACCTAGGGCTACTGGGGCTACCTCTCACACACTGGGGCCACCCACACCCAGGCCACTGGGGCCACCCACAGGGGCCACCCAGGGCCCACTGGGGCCACCTAGGCCACCCCAGCCACCCAGCCACCGACACCCACAGGGACCACCGTGGCCCACCCAGGCCACCAACACCCAGGGCCACCAGTCACCCAGCCACTGGGGCCACCCACAACACCGGGGCCACCCAGGGCCACCAACACCCAGGGCCACCGGGGCCACCCAGACCCCACCGGGGTCACAGGGCCACCAACACCCAGGCCACCACCCAGGGCCACCTCCAGACCACTGATGCCACCCAGGGCCACTGACGCCACCCAGTCACCACTGACGCCACCCAGGCCACTGATGCCACCCAGGCCACGACGCCACCCAGGCCACTGGGGCCACCCAGGGCCCAACACACTGGGGCCACTGGGGCCACCCAGGGCCACTGGGGCCACCTGAGCCACCAGCCCAGGTCACCAACAATCTGAACACCAAATACCAGGGCCACCAACACCCAGGCCACCGACGCCACCCAGGCCAACAGACCAACCTGAACACTGAGGCCACCCAGGCCACCGACGCCAACCCACACCGGGGCCCAGGGCCCAAACCCAGCCACTGGGGCCACCAGGGCCACCAACACCCAGGCCACCGCCACCCAGGGCCACCAACACCCAGGCCACCGGGGCCACCCAGGCCACCAGACAGCCACCACCAGCCACCCAGGCCACCAAACACCCAGGCCACCGGGGCCACCCAGGCCACTGGAACGCCACCCAGGCCACCACCACCAGTCACCACCCAGGCCACCCAGGCCAGTCAACTAGGCCAACACCCACCACCCAGGACACCAACACCCAGGGCCACCAACCCAACACCCACCAACAACCACACAACCACCCACCCAGGCCACCCAGGCCAACACCCAGGCCACCACCCACCAGCCACTGGGGCCACCCAGCCACCAACACCCAGGCCACTGGGGCCACCCAGCCACTGGGGCCACCCAGCCACCAACACCCACAGGCCACCAACACCCAAGGCCACCACACCCAGGCCACTGAGGCCACCTAGGCCACTGGATGCCACCCAGGCCACTGATGCCACCCAGGGCCACTGATGCCACCAGGGCCACTGGGGTCACCAGGCCACCACACGAGTCACCACACAAATACCAGGCCACTGGGGGCACCCAACACCACCCAGGGCCACCAGCCACCCAGGCCACTGGGGCCACCCAGGCCACCGACGCCACCCAGGGCCACTGGGGCCAACCAGGCCAACACCCAGGGCCAACAACCCAGGCCACCCACCCAGGCCACCAGCCCAGGCCACTGGGGCCACCCAGGCCACCACACCCACAGGGCCACGGGGTCACCCACACACCACCACCAACACTGGGGTCACCCAGGGCCACCACCAGGCCACTGACGCCACCCAGGCCACTGGGGTCACCCAGGCCACTGGGGCCACCCAGGCCACCGCCAACCAGGCCACGAGCCACCCAGGCCACCACGCCACCCAGGCCAACAACACCCAGGGCCACCGGGGCCACCCAGGCCACCGGGGCCACCCAGGCCACACCCAGCCACTCAGCCACCTGAGGCACCCAGGCCACCGACAACCAGGGCCACCTGACGCCAACCCAGAGGCCACCACACCCAGGGCCACTGGGGCCACCCAGGCCTGATGCCACCCAGGCCACTGGGGCCACCCAGGCCACCAGCCACCCAGGCCAACCACCCAGGCCACTGGGGCCACCCAGGCACACTGCAACAACCAGGCCACCGGGGCCCACCCAGGCCACCGGGGCCACCCACAGGCCACACACACACCCACAGGCCACTGGGGCCAACAGACTGGGGCCACCCACACCTGGGGCCACCCACCGGGGCCACCCAGGCACACCGGGGCCACCCAGCCACCGGCCCACCCAGGGTCACCAAGACCAACCACACTGACGCCAACCCACCAGGCCAACGACCACCTGACCACCCAGGGCCAACGGCCCCACCGGGGCCACCCAGGCCACCAGCCACCCAGGGCCAGCCACCCAGGGCCACCACACCCAGCCACTGGGGCCACCCAGGCCTGGGGCCACCCAGGCCACTGCACACCCAGGCCAGTCACCCAGGCCACTGCCACCCAGGCCACCACCCAGGGCCACTGGGGTTACCCACAGGCCACTGGGGTCACCCAGGCTACTGGGGTTACCTAGGGCTACTGGGGTTACCTAGGCTACTGATGCTACCTAGGCTACTGATGCTACCTAGGGTACTGATGCTACCTAGGCTACTGATGCTACCAGCTACTGCCTTAGGCTACTAAGACTACCCAGGGCTACCAAGACTACCCAGGACTATTTCATCCAGTCAAACAGTCATACAGTCGTACGAACAACCAGTTACGCTTCGTTGTGGGGGAGGAAGGATGGGGAGAGGTGGGGTGGTAAGGAGGGGGAGAGGTTAGGGAGGGGAGGGGAGGTAAGGGAGCGGAGGAGAGGTCGGGTGGAAGGGGAACCACGCAGCAGGCAGACAAGAGCCTCAGTGTAGCTGTGACTGCGTCAGGGGTAAGACGCGTTGTCTCGGTCCTCCGCCTTACTGTGAGAGCCCTACTTAACCCCTTCCCATAGTTTGGTTTGTTTAATCCGTCAATTAATCTAAAATGTAGCCCCATATAAAATTAATCGATAATTAAATCTGGTGATATTTTCTATGTTAGGTAGGAAAAATTGATAGATAAACATCGACGTAACGAGATATGGGATTTTTTACGGATATGGTGAGGAATTATAGACAAAATGAAATGCGTCGACAGAACACAAGTCGACAGTGTGTTATGGTGGTCCAGTGGTGTAGTGATGGTGTAGTGATGGTGTAGGAGGGTTAAATACAACCCTAATACACCCTAATACACCCTAATACAGTCCTACACCGGTTAAGTTAATGGAAATACTTCATCCTGGCGCCGATTAGGATTAAATTCGTTAACCCACCAAGCCCAAAGGTCTCCAAAGGTAAGGATATTTTTTTTTATTATTCAAGGTTTTTTTATCCGGATTTTGTTTTTTATCTTGACTAACCTAACCTAACCTAACCTAACCTGACCTAACCTAACCTAACCTGACCTAACCTAACACTAACCTAACCTAACACTAACCTAACACTAACACTAACCTAACATTAACCCAACCTAACCTAACCTAACCTAACCTAACCTAACACCAACCTAACACTAACCTAACACTAACACTAACCTAACATTAACCCAACACTAACACTAACCTAACACTAACATTAACCTAACACTAACCTAACCTAACACTAACCTAACCTAACCTAACCTAACCTAACACCAACCTAAGACTAACACTAACCTAACATTAACCTAACACTAACCTAACACTAACACTAACCTAACATTAACCTAACACTAACCCAATACACCAACCTAACCTAACACTAACCTAACCTAACCTAACCTAACACCAACCTAAACTAACCTAACATTAACACTAACCCAACATTAACCTAACCTAACATTAACCTAACACCAACACTAACCTAACCTAACACTAACCCAACCCAACACCAACACTAACCTAACATTAACCTAACACTAACCCAACCTAACACATTAACACTAACTCAACACTCAACCTAACACTAACCTAACCCAACACTAACCTAACCTAACACTCAACCTAACCTAACACTAACCTAACACTAACCTAACCTAACCCAACCTAACCCAACCTAACCCAACCTAACACAACACTAACCTAACACTAACCTAACCCAACACTAACCTAACCTAACAACTAACCTAACCTAACCTAACACTAACCTAACTTCCAACCTAACCTAACACTCAACCCAACATTAACCCAACATTAACCTAACATTAACCTAACCTAACACTAACCCAACCTAACCTAACCTAACACTAACCTCAACTTCTAACATTAACCTAACATTAACCCAACCTAACACTAACCTAACCTAACCTAACACTAACCTAACATTAACCTAACATTAACCTAACCTAACCCAACACTGATATATATATTAAATGTCGCTCCATTAAAACACTTGATCAAGGTTCAGTCTACCAGGGTTAAAAGGTGGGTAAGGTTTTAAGGGTGGGTGGGGATTTTAAGGGGTGGGTAAGGGATTTTAAAATTGGGTAAGGGATTTTAAGGGTGGGTAAGGAGTTTTGAGGGTGGGTAAAGGATTTTAGGGGTGGGTAAAGGGTTTTAAGGATGGGTAAGGATTTTAAGGGGTGGGTAAGGGATTTATGGAATGGGTAAGGGATTTTAAGGGGTGGGTAAGGGATTTTAAGGGTGGGTAGGGATTTTAAGGGTGGGTAAGGATTTTGAGGTGGGTAATGGGTTTAAGGGTGGGTAAAGGGTTTTTAGAGGTGGGTAAGAGATTTAAGGGTGGGTAAGGGATTTTAAGGGTGGGTAGGGTTTTGGGTGGTAGGGGATTTTAGGGGTGGGTAAGGATTTTAAGGGTGGGTGGGGTTTTAGAGGTGGGTAGGGATTTTAAGGGGTGGGTAGGGATTTTAAGGGTGGGTAGGGATTTTAAGGTGGGTGGGGTTTTAAGGGTGGGTAATGGGTTTAAGGGTGGTTAAGAATTTTAAGGGTGGGTAGGGGTTTTAAGGGTGGGTAGGGGTTTTATGGTGGGTAAGGAATTTTAAGGGGTGGGTAAGGGGTTTTAAGGGTGGGTAAGGGTTTTAAGAGTGGGTAAGGATTTTAAGGTGGGTAAGGGTTTAAAGGGTGGGTAAGGGGTTTAAGGGTGGGTAAGGGTTTTAAGAGGTGGGTAAGTGATTTTAAAGGTGGGAAGGGATTTTAAGGGGTGGGAAGTGATTTTAAGGTGGGTAAGGGGTTTTAAAGGGGTGTAAAGGATTTTAAAAGGTGGGTAAAGGATTTTAAAGGGTAGGTAAGGATTTTGAGGGTGGGTAAGGGATTTAAGGGTGGGCAAGAGGTTTTAAGGGGTGGTAAGGAATTTTAAGGGGTGGGTAAGGGATTTTAAGTAGCGGGTAAGGAATTTTAATGGTGGGTAAGGGATTTTAAGGGTTGGGTAAGGAATTTTAGAAGTGGGTAAGGGATTTTAAGGGTGGGTAAAGGATTCTAAGGGGTGGATAAGGGATTTTAGGGTGGGTAGGAATTTTAAGAGTTGGGTAAGGGGTTTTAAGAGGTGGGTAAGGGATTTTAAGGGTGGGTAAGGAATTTTAATGGGTGGGTATGGAATTTTAAGGGTGGGTAAGGGGTTTTTAAGGGGTGGGTAAGGGATTTTAAGGGGGTAGGGTAGGGATTTTAAGGGTGGGTAGGAATTTTAAGGGTGGGTAAGGGATTTTAAAAGGGTGGGTAGAGTTTTAAGGGGTGGGTAAGGAATTTTAAGGGTGGGTAAGGAATTTTAAGAGGTGGGTAAGGGGTTTTAAGGGTGGGTAAGGGGTTTTAAGGGGTGGGTAAGGGATTTTAAGGTGGGTAGGGGTTTTAGGGGTGGGAGAAGTGTGTGTGTGTCTTCTTCTTGGACTGTTCCTTGATATAAGCTGAGGTATATAGTGTACCTGGTGTGTGTGTGTGTGTGTGTGTGTGTCTGTGTGTGTGTGTGTGTGTGTGTGTCTGTGTGTGTCTGTGTGTGTGTGTGTGTGTGTGTGTGTTTGGTTGTGTTTGTCTCGTCAAAGCAACTGTCTCGTCTAAGCTTACTGTATCGTCTAAGCAACTGTCTCGTTAAGCTTCACAATCTCGTCAAGCTTAACTGTCGTCTAAACACTGTATCGTCTAAGCAACTGTCTCGTCTAAGCTTCACTGTCTCGTCTAAGCTTCACTGTCTCATCCAAGCTTAACCATCTCGTCTAAACCACTGTCTCATCTAAGCAACTGTCTCGTCAAAGCTTTACTGTCTCATCTAAGCTTTACTGTAAGCTTGTGTAAGAGAGAGAGAGAGACAGACAGACAGATACAACAGACAGAACAGACGAACAGACAGACAGACACACCAGACAGACAGACAGACAGACAGACAGACAGACACACCAGACAGACAGACAGACAGACAGACAGACACAACAGACAGACACACCAGACAGACAGACAGACAGACACAACAGACAGACAGACAGACAGACAGACACAGACAGACAGGCACAACAGACAGACAGACAGACAGACAGACAGACAGACACACCAGACAGACGGACAGACAGACAGACAGACAGACCACCAGACAGACAGACAGACAGACACAACAGACAGACACACCAGACAGCAGACAGACAGACAGACACAACAGACAGACAGACAGACAGACAGACAGACACAGACAGGCAGGCACAACAGACAGACAGACAGACAGACAGACAGACAGACACACCCAGACAGACGAACGAACAGACAGACAGACAGACAGACAACGAAAGTTCAATCAACATGACATTTCAGATTAAATAAAAGGGCAGATAGGCCCTTATGGTTCTCACGGTTCTCTCACTGTCTGTCTGTCTGTGTTCTGGCTGTCTGTCTGTCTGTTTGCTGCTGTTGCCTGTTACTTCTGCTTGCATTATATCTGTCTGTACCTGCTGTGCTATCTGTCATCCTGTCTGTTCATACCTATCTCTGTCCAATGCATGCTACTTCTGTCTATCCATCTGCTCTATGCTACAGCATATCTGTATCTGTTACTGTCTCTCTGTCTGTCTGTCTGTCTGTCTGTATATTTATATCTGTGTCTGTCTGTCTGTCTGTCTGTCTGTTCTAATATGTCTGTCTGTCTGGTGTGTCTGTCTGTCTGTCTGTCTGTCTGTATGTTGTATCTGTGTCTGTCTGTCTGTCTGTCTGTCTGTCTGTCTGTCTGTATGTTATCTGTGTCTCTGTCTGTCTGTCTGTCTGTCTGTATGTTGTATCTGTGTCTGTCTGTCTGTCTGTCTGTCTGTCTGTCTGTCTGTCTGTATTGTATCTGTGTCTGTCTGTCTGTCTGTCTGTCTGTCTGTCCTGTCTGTCTGTCTGTATGTCTGTCTGTCTGTCTGTCTGTCTGTCTGTCTGTATGTTGTGCCTGTCTGTCTGTCTGTCTGTATGTTGTATCTGTGTCTGTCTGTCTCTGTCTGTCTGTCTGTCTGTCTGTCTGTCTGTCTGTCTGTCTGTCTGTCTGTTGTGCCTGTCTGTCTGTCTGTCTGTCTGTCTGTCTGTCTGTCTGTCTGTCTGTCTGTCTGTCTGTCTGTATGTTATCTGTGTCTGTCTGTCTGTCTGTCTGTCTGTCTGTCTGTCTGTCTGTCTGTCTGTATTTTGTGCCTTCTCTGTCTGTCTGTCTGTCTGTCTGTCTGTCTGGTGTGTCTGTCTGTCTGTCTGTCTGTCTGTCTGTCTCTTGTGTCTGTCTGTCTCTCTGTCTGTCTGGTGTGTCTGTCTGTCTGTCTGTGCCTGTCTGTCTGTCCTGTCTGTCTGTCTGTCTGTCTGTCTGTCTGTTTGTATCTGTGTCTGTCTGTCTGTTGTGTCTGTCTGTCTGTCTGTCTCTTGTGTCTGTCTGTCTGTCTGTCTGTCTCTCTCTCACTGTCTGTCTGTCTGTTGTATCTGTGTCTGTCTGTCTGTCTGTCTCTTGTGTCTTCTGTCTGTCTGTCTGTCTCTCTCACTGTCTGTCTGTCTTTGTATCTGTGTCTGTCTGTCTGTCGTTGTGTCGGACAGGGAATGTATGTATGTATCTATGTATGTATGTATGTATGTATGTATGTATGTCACGTTGCCAATGTTTCCCCCCCTCCCCTACCTCCCTCCCTCTACCTCCCCTCTACCTCCCCCTACCTTCCCCTACCTCCCTCTCCCCCCCACCTTCCTCAGCCGCACCTGGGCCGGGTAGGGGCGTCGGGATGGCGGGGTGAGGGAGGCGTGTTGCTCTCTCTCTCTCTCCAGTGGTCAGTGTGAGGCAGACAGAAACAGACAGACAGACACACGACAGACACACACAGACAAAACAGACAGACAGACGAACAGAAACAACGAACCAGACAGACAGACAGAGAGAA